AATAAATCTTGGTTGCTTGTTGTTCTCTATTATATCTATTTTTTGAGCACAATGTTGCTGTTGAGAACATATCACACAGGAACACTTTCAGAGGAAAAAGGTTGTTTCATTGGTGTGGACGGATATGCATTTTGGGCATAATGCCCCTCTTCAGTCCTGAGATAGTGACAGTTAAACCAACATGACTTGTAAGAAGATATACATATAGTTTAAAAAAAGGGGGAAAAAAAGAGCTAATAGTTCTTTTGGCTCCACACATATACACATTAGGATAGTATAACATGTGCTGTAGGATGTGAAATAATTCTGATGAGATGTGCAGAGAACATAGACGAGATAGGAGAGATTACAAAGAAGTGAGTGATCCTTGACAAGGATCACTCACTTCTTTGTAATCTCTTAGAAAATTCACCTCTGTGGATGGATATGCATTTCAGGCTTAATGCCTGAAATGCATATCCATCCACACCAATAAAACAACCTTTTTCCTCTGAAAGTGTTCCTGTGTGATATGTTCTCAAAAGCAACATTGTGCTAAGAAAATAAAACTATAAATATTTGTTTATTTTATTTTTTTAATTAAAATCCTATCAAATAAAACATTATTGTATACATACAATCATTTAATAAATGAAGAGTCATAAAACTGTTTATATATTTTATAAAAAGACAGATTTCTGATAATTATTTAACAAAAATAATGAAATTTTAGACATATGACTGTATATTTTCTATAAAAATAAGATATTTGATATTTATTGATCATTTGTGTTTTGTAATAAAAGGGAAAAAAGTATTTTAATTTTAAAATTTAAACAGATATTTAGCTTTACAGGTCTAAAAAGAATAATAGAAATCTTTTATTTACACAAGTCAATTATTAAGTACAACTAAGAAAACTATAGGTTAATTACATATACAGGGTGTTCAGTGAGATAATGGCAATGCTTTTACAGCATGTTCTAGAGACTTAAGGGATCCAACAATTGAAACCAGATAAAACAGGTTATATCTGATTTGTTATCTCACTGCCTTCAGCTCCTTGCCTTCAGAACCTTACCTTTTTCCACAAATGTAAGGTTTACTTGCATTTCTTGGATCTTTAGTACAGCACAGAAGCGGAAGGGCAGCAAGATTCAGACTTTTCCACAGCACTTAACAGTTCTGCAGGGCAACATCTTACGGGGTAACTAGCATAAACTAACTTTTTCTAGAACTGAAACAATGCATTTGAAGGGCTATGTTTATAGGATATTTCTGGATCCTTTAAGCTTCTATAACTTGCTGTAAAAATTCACCACTATTTCATGCAACAAACCATGTAATTAAAAAAAAAATCATCAATTATATTGAAAATGTGTTAATGTAAATTGAAAAAAGTTCATTATTGTTATAAACATTGAAATGAATACAAAGTTTTATTAATCAAAAATTTTTCAATAAATAATGTTTAGTGAAACTTAATTTATACTGTATATGTAAATTCCTTATGATATGCAGATACTCTTGTAAGTTACATCCTATATGTAGAGGGTGAGCCTTTTTAGTCCATACGTCTTATCAAATGCAGCCAAATAGGAAAAAAATCTTAATTTTTTTATGGAAAAAAGATAAAGGACTTATTATTAAACTTAAGAATTTGATTCCATATTTAACTCCTTAATTATTGATGATAATCTATAACTGTAATAAAACAAATAGTAAATAAAAAAACAAGTAAAAGAATAACTAAAACAAAAGAGAGAGAGAGAGAGAATAACAGTAAAATACTTAAATTTTGAACAAATCATAACTAGACTTACTGTCACTAATAAAACAAAATTTTATTAGATAAATATGGCTAGATATACAGTATTGCTTTCAGATAGAGAATCAACACTTATAATTAATGATGATAGACAAATATAAAACAAAAAAAGTTTGAAAACACATAATTAGATCAGCCTGTTAACTTTTTATTTTTATTGCTTATTATTAATAGTAATTACTTTTGTGATAAATATCCATTATGCATATTCTGCAGGATTTGCCACAAAGTCATGAAAGAATAATGATTTGTAGATCGATCCATGAATTTTTCAGGAGAGAATTAAAGAACCTGATTTGGTTAATTCATATGGTGCAAAAATTAAATTACTTTCAAACAATGTATGATTATCTAGCAAGAGATTTAATGAAAGTTTCTTGTTTTTATTAATGAGAACAATCAAGAAATAGCAAACTCACAATTTGCAAGAGACTTCTATAATTTATAAAGTAAAAAATTTTATAATATTCAATTTATGTAATTAAATTCTGAAAAACTTTTCAAACCCAAAATTTCAAAATAACTGAAAATTATTTTATTGGAAAAATTTACCATATTTTCACAGAATGACTGGCATGCTGCATAAAACCGGGAAGACCAACATGCTGGAAACCCCAGGGTTAACAGCATGCTAGTTAAACTGCACCTAAAAAATAATATTAATCAGATGTAACAAAATTAGTTGTTTATTAAATGTTAAAGAAAACATTCTTCCCAGTACAATAAAGTAATAACATTATAATTTGACTGACTTAAAATCAGGAAGAGAGTTTTTGTTTACAGTGCAATAAAACAAAGGCTTATTGACATTAGTAGTAGTAGTAGAAGTTAGTCAGTATGGGCTGCACTGACCATCTAACCTGACCTTAAAAATAACTCCTTCCTCTCAAATTTCATACAAAGTGTATGTTAATTTGTGTATAAGTTGAGTGAATTTACCGCCAGTTTCCGAAATTTAATATGCTTATTTTTGCATTTTTAAATTGAATTACAATAAAATAAACATAAAAAAAGCACTTTCAGAATTACAAGAGTATTTTACATCATTAGAAAGAAGACAAAATGAAGAAATTAAACTTATAATCTTAATTTTTGATGTAATTCTGACAGTTTCACAGTTTTAGAATTACACCTTCTAGAGAGGGATCTATAACCTCACTTAAATTGGCATTTCCCTGGGATAAACCATCATGCCAGTTTTCCCATACAGAAATATGATTTCGTGGTCTCTCCAGATAAACTGGCATGCTGGTCATTCCACAAAAATACAGTATTTAAATATATAAAAGTGAGTTTATATTTAGTCAAATTAAATATAATTTTCTTATTTCTTTATTTAATAACTATCAAAGAATGCCCAACATTTCCTGGGAACACAGAGAGGGGACTAAGTTATCCTCATTATAGGGTAGTGTATGTCTCCCACAGGGTGGCAAAAAGTAATATGAAAAATTTGATGCAAATCAATGACAGGGTTTGGTAATTTGTGTGGGGTTGAAATCAGGGGAAGGAGTGAGAATCTGAGTTTTAAAATAGCATATATTTTTTGCATTGTAGACACTAACTATTCAAAATTTATTCAGGTTTCAAAAGGTTTGGGGTTAGGAGGATGAAATCAGAGAAAAGGAATGAGGGATCCTAGTTTTGTGGTAGTCCATGTTTCCCGTAGGATACCAGAGAGCAGGGGCCAGGGTAGCAATTATGCTGCTCTGGGCAAGATGGTTATTTGCCATCCCTTTTAAATATAAGCAAAGTATAATTTTAATTGAAAGATTTGAGGGCTTGGACCTCACACATTTAATTACTTAATTATTTCCAAAAAGTAAAATAATTGATTATCTGAAATTAACAATATTTTATTATTTTTATTTTCTTTGGCCAATTTTGCCACCCCTAGCAATCTGACTCCCTGGGCAACTGCCTACCTTGCCCACCCCTGTATTGTCCCCTGCCAGAGAGTAATTATGAGGAATTTGGTCCAGATCAGTCAAAGGGTTTGGGAGTTTGTAAAGAAGATGAAATCAGCAGGAAGAAGTTGAGTTTTAAGGTAGCTTATGTACTACACAGTACATTGGAAACTAATAATCTTTTCCAATGGTCCCCTGACATGGATGTATTTTGTGATAATTGCTACTTTCTTTTAGGCATTTTAGTATTGATAAGACTCACTCACATGTTTACATGATAAGACTCACTTTACATAGATATCTGATAACATAAGACTAATTCTTATTTGTAAATAATTGTATGGTAGGATTAATACTAAAACAATAAACACATAAAAATGCTATAGGCCTACTTACAGAAGTTTAGTTTCATATAAAGGAAGTAAATTCACTTCTTATAGTTGTATCTGATAGCATATGAGTATTATTATAAGAAATGAATGACCAAGACAATATAAACAAAGCATATACACAACTATCCGAACTGCACAAATCAAAACTGAAAATATACGATAATAAGTCTAAAAATGCCCACTAGGTGGCAAAAGGGATTGAATTTAAATAGAGGAGATGAACGGTGATGCGAGACAAATGTCATGATAAAAACATTGTCTTTGTGCAGTTTTCTTTTTTAATATGAAAATTGTACATAGCCTATATTCATTTGGAAGGAATAAGTTTTCCAATAACAAAATAATTTTAAAATTTGGTTCAGTAGCCTCTGAGATTATCTTTAGCAAACAAACAAAAATTTATATATTAATGTACTGTAGATGAAAAATTTAAAATTTAATCTTAAATTGTATTAATTCTTCATGATAATTTTATTGTATGATTATCATTGATGGAATATTGATATGAACTTTTGTAAACATTATTTTCAATATGCTTAACTTTAAAATGTAAACTACTTAAATTAATGCAAATTTTTCTAAATTATACATTTCATTTACTTTATTTTATATCTTCTTTTTTGATGTATAACTTATCTTGCTTTAATTCAACAAGTCAAACTTTTCTAATGTTTAATGTTAAAAATTTTCTGATGTATTGAATTAAAAGTGGATAAGTTGTATGTTATTCATCTGAATTGTTAAATAGGTATAAAGTAAATACAATAAACTTAAAATGATATTTAAAGAAAATTTAATACATCATTTAATTTCATGTATTAAATTTATGTTTGATATAAATATAAATATACTAAATTTGCAAAAAGTTACATAAATTTATTTAACTGTATTTAGGACCTGAAGGATGTAATTTATTCATCTATCATTTACCTCAAGAATTTGGTGATGCTGAACTGATGCAAATGTTCATGCCATTTGGAAATGTCATCAGTGCTAAAGTCTTCATAGATCGTGCCACTAATCAGAGTAAATGTTTTGGTATGTGAGTTTTTATTTTAAAAATTTTATTAAAAAGAAATTGTGATATAAAAAAAGCATTAAGCCAAAACTTTTACATTCTTACTTGAATTTTATTCACTGTTATATAACATCCACAAGTATTTTGTATAAATCTATCTTGAAAGGAATGAATGCAGAAAATGTAAAAAATCCATAACAATTATAATTCAAACAATTTAAGACTTAGAGCATTGAACAACTTTTACCTTCTTAAATAAAAAGAAAAATCACTGATGCTTATATATCTATTTTTACATACCACTACTCAAAAATGACTTCCTGTAACAATATAGCCTATCACTTTGAAAGTACAGAATTCTATAGAAGTATCAATATGTCATTTATTATGATAGTAGAAGTAGCCATTTGCAGGCATTTTAGGTATGTTAAACTTAAAGAAACATACACATCAACAGTTTTTTAGTATTTATATTTGACTGGATCAGTTGGCTATACAAGTTTTGCATTCTACATTGCATTCTTGCATTTCTACATTGCATTTCTACATGCCCTTCTACATTGCATTCTTCTTATGCAGTGATGATGTGAGCACCATTTTTTTTATAACTATTCCGGGACCTATATGCCATTTCAGAGTGAAAGAAATGCTAAAATAGCATATTTTGTCATTCTCTATAACTCTGTAATTAACATTGATGACCTACAGTATTTCCATTATAGCTTCTGTCTCTCACAACCTAAGGGGGAGAGGGATGATGATGATGATTATGATGATGATGACACTTTGTTTAATACAGGATTGACTTTGTATATGTTGAGAAAAGATTTACAATGGCTCACTATTCATTTTTGAAATAATCAGTTGGAATACTTTATCATGCTATATATTATATATAGTATGATAGTTAACAAAATCATTGTAATAAAACAGAGATTGAAATTTTTATGAGTTTCCACATCTCTTATTTACAGTATTTATAATATTTGCTTACCAAAATATATAAAATTGCAAAAAAAATAAAAAATACCATTTTTATGTTGCCAAATACAAAACTATTTGATAACAAAATTATGATCCATGTTTGTTTTTTCATGACTTTCAGTTTAAAAAGATATGAATTAACTTTAATAAAAATTTTTAATAGAAAAAACAAGAGAAACTTTAGAAAAAGACATAGATTTATTTGGTTTTACTCCTAAATTAGTCATACTTAAAGTATTTGCATTTCAAAAGTTATATGAAAACTACTTATATCTCATATGAAATCTTCATTAGCAAATATTTTAAAATTGTATCTTATTCTGTCTTCAAGTGTTAATCAACTAAACATTAGCGAAAAGTTATTTTAAGATCAATAATAAAACTAAATAAAATGTTAACATATTTTAGATATAAAATAGAAGGAATTTTTTTCATTTTGACATAAGAGATTTTCCTACCTATTTGTTGAAGTAAAAATGTGACTAAAATCAAAAATATAAAACAAATTAAAAGTTAAAAACTACAGATTAAAAATGAAAATAATAATTTAACAATAGATTTAATTTAAATTGGCAATCATTCTATTAAAAATTATATTATTTTTAATGGAAACTTTTAAAATTCAACCAATACACTTGTACTCAAACAAAATGAAATATAAATCAGATCTATGAAGAATTCCTGAAGACCTGAAGACGAGTAATGTAAATTTAAAAATGCTTGAGCATAATTGTCTTATATTGTTTTTGCTCTAGAATAAACATTTTGAGTGAATTGTACAGTTTAAGAGTTTCATAAAATTTTATAATTCTATTAAGTTATCAAAATTTTCAAGGTGCTACTATAATTCAGTAAATTTTATTCACTTAAACATAGAATTAAATTTTAAAACAAATTATTTCAATTTTCTTAGATATCATCCATTATTCTATTTTTTTTTATTTCTGTTTGTTTTCTGTTTGCACATTCATCTTCATATAGACTGGCAGAAATTGAAAGTGTTACACCCACCCAGTATTGTCGAAGACATATGAAATTGAGACAAAAGAATCTCTTTTTGAAGGATATTGAATGATCAAAAATTATATGAAGAACATACAGTGGTATGGAAATTATGGAGACATTTGTTATGCAAAATTGCTATAGTGTTTAGTTTATAAGTTGTGAACTGTGTTATGGAACATGAGTTTTTTTGAACCACAGGTTGTTGGTGACCAGCTATGTCATATCAACAATTGAGAACTCCCTACACTCAAATGTCTGACTTTGAAAGAGGTTGGATAATTGGCATGTCAGAAATGGGAGCATCATATTGTGAAATCACCCAAAGGACTGGCTGTAGTGCAATATCAGTACAAAGAGTGGTTACACAGTGGATGCAGGAAGGGTCCAGTACTTGCAGACCTGGCACAGGTCCACACAGAAGGACAACACCACCATATGAAGACCACCATATTGTGCGGATGGCAGTTGCTGACAGGTGGGCGACAGCAGCAAAGATCCAAGCAGCTGTGTAGGCCAATGTGATAATCAGCAACATGTCTGCCAGAGTGTTGGAGAAAGAGCCCACTCTGCTGTGATTTTAGAGTGCCACTCAGGTCCAACTCCTGGTGTCATGGTTTGGGGGGCTATAAGTTATGACAGCAGAATCGAGTTGATGTTTGTTGAAGGCACAATGACAGCCCACCAGTACGTGGACAGGTGTGATCCATCCAGTAGTTATATCTTTCATGAACACTATCCAAAATGCTATCTTCCAACAAGATAATGCTTGTCCTCATGCTGCTGCCATCACAAGACAGGCCTTGCAAAGTGTCGGAATCACGAATTGGCCTGCCTGGTCTCTGGATTTATCTCCTATAGAGCATTTCTGGGATGCCATGGGTAGACAGATTATGTCTCATAGCCACCTAGTGCACACTGTACAACAACTGACTGCACAAGTTGTGCAATCAGTTGTTGTACAAGTTGTGCAGGCATGGAGAGATATACCCCAACAAAACATTCAAGCACTTATTGATTCAATGGCTGCAAGGATTCAAGAGAGTATCCAAGCTCAAGGTGGGCATACTTCTTACTGAAATATGTACCAAACAGCAATAAAACTTTGCATAATTCATTTTATTTTGTATTCATTTCTTCTGGGTATGCCCCTGTATATGTTTACCAAGTTTCATGAATTTCCACCAATTCCATCTGGGTGTAACACTTTCAATTTTCACCAGTGTATATTGAATTTTTTTCCATTTTGTGCTATAGATGTTCCATACTTATACTATACTCTCCTATTCTTTTACATTTCTAAATTTCCTCCAATTTTAATTTAAAAATTGCTGAAAAAATTAAAAGTTTATAGATAATAATCTCAGTTGTATAAATTTTATACATTCTTTTAATTATTCACATTATTACATTATTATCAATCATATATTCTTAGTAAAGTTCACAAAAGTTGTTGGTTTGATCAGTTCCGATCGAACAATCAGTCCTTCCTTTCAGGTAGAACGTGTTCATGTTTCTTTTTGAAGTCTCCTTATGACCTTTCATAGGGCCCAGTTTTCTTAGCTTGGAGGTGGGCCAGTCTGGCAGGAGAGGTGTAGAGTCTGCCGACTCTAATACTTGTCCTGATGATAATATGGTTCTTGTTTGGGTCTTGATGTAATCTTAGCACAACACTTCCAGATGAGCTCTCGTGGTCTTTGAGCATGATCGAGAGACTCCAAAACAAAAAAATTTTTTTTTCTTTTTCCATCTTTTAAGGGAATCATACGTCCCAATGATCGTCCAATCCAGAGCAGGGTCAGCAGCTCATATCCACCATTGCACCAGGATCCTGGTGCAATGTCTCTCGCTATGCTCTCTGGAAAAACCAAACTGCCTCTCTGGAAAAACCAAACTACCCAAACAGAAGACAAAATTACTTTGTCTCTGCCAACTATAAGGCCTACATGACATTCTTCACTCCAATCATTTAATCTATTTCTTACTTAACAAGCTTCTTAAAACAAAGTATACAAGATATTAAGGTACTGTGTTTAATCTGTTTCTTATTCAAATTGTTTAATATATTTGTAAGAAAATATCTTGAGATAAAAAATCCAAATAGTTATTACTTAATGAAACAGAAATATTTTAATTGGATCTATTTCAGAATATTATTCTAATTCCAGTGTCATTCATGTCTTTACATTTGATATTCTATGTAGTACTAAGTTAAGGAACAGAATACTTAAGGAATATATGTTAGAAACATAATCTATATTACATATGTTATCATGATAGGCAATTGATAATGTCTTTACAAAGAATAAATTAAATAATGACTGCAAATTTACTTACTTCAGCAGTTTTAATTCATTATGGCAGTGTTAAGATCAGAATTCAACAATGTTGAAAAGTGAATGTGATAAAGTACTTGTTCCTTCAAGGGAATATAAGAGATTCACTCTGAAATATTAGTGACTGTAGATGAGGACTGCCTGTCTCTCAAAATGAAGAAGAAATAACTGGCATATTTCTGAACTGGCCATTTCAAAATAACAGATAAACCACATGAAATACTGAACAGTCTACTTCAGTAGTGAAACATGAAAATGCAAATGAAGTCTTAGATAAAATCCTTGGAGATTGCTACATTTCCATCAAGAAGATTGTTGAAATACAGTAGAGTTCCTCAAATTTGACTTAATGTGGACTGAGAAGGTGACAAGTTACCAAAAATGACAAGTTTTATAGATAGTGATGATGCTAGTCTAAATAGTGAAACTTTTGAAAAGATATTATATGTGTAAATTCATCTATGTATTAACTATGTACCGATAGTGACTATTTCTATTTGTAGTTAAATTTTAATTTTAAAAATATTGGCTAATCAGTGGCTACTTTCAAATTACATTCATGTCATGGCATTTTGCACTGGCACCTTGAAAAAAGTTTATATTCTTTGTTAACATGTGGAATTGATGCTATTATCAAAGTGTTGTTATTGAAGAACTATAACTTATTTGAGCTAGTGTTAAATTATAGAGGTAAAAAT